TAATATAAGGTATTATGAATTATGATAACTACATGCAATGTTTCTGGAAAAATTCATTAACCATGTCTTATGCAAAATGCGTCCTAATTGAAAAATAAAATATTTGTTTCAAAATATATGACAATATTTAAATATAATATATCCTAGACTGATAAATCATCTCCGTTCAGAATCGTTTTTTGTATACAATGATACCTATCGGCTATCATTGCATTCCAATTTAACCTACCCTAGTCAGAAGTCCACCCCACCCCTTAATGTACAGTAGAGCGACATCCACTTACCCGCTTTTTTTTTCAATTAGTTGTTCGAATATATTATATAAATATATTGAATATAGAAAACGAAAAAAGACCTGTGTAGCAATGCGCCAATTATGCCCATAAGGTTGGGCTAAGGCAGTAAGACCTAAAATGTATGACATTTTTTATTTACTTATACTTATAAGTAAACATATACTATATATACTTATAGTACCTAAATTAAAGGAAGTTATTCATGATAAAATCACATAGACGTAATAAGGGTGGAGCTGGGGAGTTAAATCCCTAAAAAAAAATTATGTCAAACATACACCACATTWCAAAATATCCAATATAAATATGATCTTCAGCCCCCCCCCCAAATCTCAAACACTATTTTTGCCTATGATGGATGTAACTAAAAACCTAACAAACATCTCCGTCTTACAAGTTACAAGTAAGATCGGTACGCTCGGCAGATCACGTTTAACTCCGTTAGTTTAAAAATTAGATTGAATTGACCTCTTATAACATTTAAAAGAAAAAATATTACTTGGACAAACTTACGAGATTTTGCTAAATTTTAATGTTGAAGCGAATTATAAATATTTTTAAATTAAATTTTTTTTTTGTACATCTCAAAATACTTATAACTCGCATCAAAATTAAAATTTAGCAAAATCTCGTAAGTTTGTCCAAGTAATATTTTTTCTTACTATTATCCCATAAGGTTGTCCAAATAATATTATTATTTTTAAATCTTATAAGAGGTCGTTTCAATCTAATTTTTAAACTAACACAGTTAAACATGATATGCTGAGCGTAAAAATTCGATATGTTACGCACTTGTAAGACGGAGACAACACGTGCGGGTAATTCGCCAAAATTACGAAGGTGTTCAAATTATTTTAAAAATATTTTTAGAAATTTTATTTATATATTTTAGATGGACATTCAATGGAAGTTCCTCATAATTTTTTCTCACCATTAACAAAAAAAAAGAAGTTTACCGAAAAGTTACATTAATTTTTTTATAAGCGATTGAAAATAATAATTTGACAATTGACATTGGATTTATCCGTAAATTAACTTAATTAACGATCATTCATTGAACGATTTTCTCATTTTGTAGTAATATAATTCAATTTTCAATAACTAATAACCGTAKAAATCAACTACAAATTCTCACTAAATGTTTATTAAATGAAAAATTAAAATAAAGTTTCTCATGAATATTTCATTCATTAACCACATAATTAAAGGTATATAAATGCAGTTTTTTGTTTTATTTAAATTTCGATGAAGACATTAAAACGACCAATGACAATTTCAGTTATTTTATAGTTATTTATTTAAATTATGTCGGTACCTACCTAAAATTTTTAAAGGAAAAAATTAATCCAACATAGTAAAATACTAAAATGTATAACTAATAGTAAAATAAATTACTAGCAATATCAAAAATTATATCAAGTCTGCTCAGAATCAATTCTCATATTATGTAATAATTTATTAATGAATTCAAATTTAACAAATAGGTACATTGCACTGACTTACTCAATGATACACTTAACACAATAAGGATTACCACTTTCTCCCTTCTTTGAATTATAAACATTAAAGTTATATTTTTTGTAGGATAACAAACTCAAAATAAGAGTACAGTGGTTATATTGAAATAAAATGATATACACATTATATCTGTTCAATGTTCATAGAGTATAGGCTATAGCACAAATTGTTATAACAAAATATCTACCAAAATAATACAATTAATTTAATGATTAAACATTTTATGAACAACAACAATTTATTTGTTTACATTCTATTAGCTTTTATTGAATTAAGATCTGAATCATTAAACATTTGTTATAAGAAATGGCTAAAAAAAACAACTTATTCAGATAAGTAAAAATATCAAATTAAAAAAATAAAATAATTGCAATGTACATAACATAAATTATATCTATATGTATATTTGAGTGATATCATAATAAATTTAAATGAATTGATATTTTTTTCAGTATGGACTACGGACCAAAATTAAAAATGAAATAAAAACTTTATTTGGAAAGGATTTGGATATAATAGTTGTATGATTAGAAATCAAATTAACTTATATTTAATTTATAATAAATAATTTATTTTATTGCTGGTAATTTGGAATTTATTTGAATTATTTACCTTACTATTAATATAGTCATCAAATTCAGGATGGTGTATTTAATTCTTCAGTCAATAGAGTAAGTAATATTTCACTATTTCTATTTTTAAATGAATACATAATTTTTTCTCAAAATTTCAAAATTGCGTAATATTTTTGTCTCTTTTTCAAGCATTTATAATATTATATTTGAATGCTATTTATAACATACTTAATGTTTAAGTATTAAATTATTGAATCTAATACTTAGATTAAGTTTAACATATTTAGTAGTTAGTTAACTTTAATTTCCAACAAATGCATAAATGACATAAAAAGTTGTAATTTTGTTTAAATCTACCAAATATAAATAGTAATAGGTGTATCATAAAACAAACGGGAATGAAAAAAGGTCCAAAATATGTACGACTACATCAAAATTTATTGTTATATAAATTAACCGACTAAAAATCCAACTCCCATTCTTAATTGATGTTTGGCCGGAGAAAACATAGTACTCAGTGCAAATGTAAATGGCATTGGGTGTAAACGTTTTTCCAGTGTTGTGCTAACATTCCACTTTCTATCTATGCTACCTAAAACCAAAAAAGAAAAACAATTRATAAATTTTTTGCATATTAGGTTAGTTAATTATTAGTATATTTATGTTATACTGTTTACAAAACAAAAAACAATTATCTAGTAACTGATTAATTTAGTAAAAATGATTTAAAAAAAAAGTATTAATGCATTATTTCACCACATTTTCATATAATTTACTATTATTAAAAAAGTAAACTTAATATTAATTTTTCTAAAATTAAATAATATTTTAACATCTTTAAACTTTTAATATTATTGAATAACATTTTTAGTTTTGTTAAAATAATAATACTATATAATACTTCATAAATTAAATTATAAATAAGAGCAGAATGTATATTCTATCCAGAAAAAGAATATGCCTGACCAACAAAAATTGGTTCTTCTGCAGTTCTGCACATCCCTACATAACACCCTATCATAATGAAACAGGCTTCAGTGGTAGGGTGTTGAGTAGAGATGTACAAATTCAGTTTGTTCTCTCACTGAAAAAAATATGATTTCTAACAACTGCTGAACTGCTTACAATCACAATCATTACACTGGTTATAATGGAAAATTGTAGTGTAACTTTATCCAAAAAATACTAGCACAATATGTTTGCTACCAGCATCCAAAAATAGTAGAATGATAGTTTCAACCACAATAATAAGCATTTGTTTATGACAATTTTAAACAAAGAATTAGTGCTCTTTATTTGAATGTTATTTAATTATGATTTGGTTAATTATTTTTCATAAAAAAAGCTCATAAAAATAAGCGTTGCTTAGCTTCTTAAGCTAAGTAAGAAATATCAGAAAAATATTTTGACAAAATGGTATTAAGCTTGAACATTTAGTGAACCAATAATTAAGGATAATAATATCATAGCCTATAGGTCAGACAGGTTAGGCTAATAGATAACTCTGCAATAATTAAAATTTAATAGGATTCATTTTTTTATTTATATTGAATGTGTAATGTCTTGTTCTTTTATCAATTTCAATAAATTTTACCAAACATATTGTATTTCCAAGGTTTAGAACAAAGAATTTAATATTCGAACCMAACTGTACAATATTTAATTAATTTAGAGCTTTAAATTTACAAATAGCAATGCTGAAAATATAAACATAATTCATGTAAACATAAAATTATGTTTTTTTCTTTTTAAACTAGCTTTACTTTCCATTATAAAATAAAAACTTGAGGTTTTTTTACTTAACTAACAAACAAAAAAACATAATTTATTCCTATGTTAGCCTTTATGTACACACATAAACAATATAACATGATTGATAACATATAAAAAATGAATGGGRACATCTATATTAACTCCCACGTACATTTTCAATTGTTTTTTTTTAAACTTAGGTAAAATATTTTAAAAATGATGGAGCAAAAATAAGACATAGTAAATGAATAGTATTTATGTTATTGAAATTATGAAATTCACAATAATTGGGGTTTTACTTATTTGTTAGTTTCTAACATTTATAACCCTTTTCAAACTTTTTAATTTTGTTTTAATGCACTAATACAGTTAATTATGCTGAAAACAACAAGGAAGTAAAAATTAATAATAAGACTTATTTTAAAGTTAGAACTAATTGAAGTTTATGGAATTTTCATATACACCTTGCATGGTCACCCGCTCGCTGCACTCAATTGAATAATTAAAATTGAAAATATCCCTCGGTTTGTTATGTTAAATCACCTTGGGTGAATCTAAGAGCTAAAACAAAATTATTAAGTGTAGTCACTCGCCAGCTAGGATAATATTAGAGGTAAAATAGAATGTTGCGCGCATGCATAAAACAACAAATTGTGAAAGGCTATAACTTAAAAACTAATGATTTCCGCTAGTTTATATTTGCACCATCATTCTTAACTTGTTGTAGATAGATTTTGAATAAAAAAAAATTGAAAAATTTGCATGAGCGCTAAACTAGATTTATGCCAAGATATGTATCCTGCTTTTTTGTTCCAACAAGCATAATTAGAAAAAAAAATTTTTTATACMTTTAATGTTGATATCTGATTTAGGAATTTGTGCTTGGTATGCAAATGTTGCATTTATATCTCGTTGTAAAAGACTACCTTCAAGGTCTACACCAAATTGAAGTTGCTCACTAGCTTTGAAATGATAGCAGCATTGCAACCCAGTTAAACTTAATGTAGTACTGATTGTGGTAGCATCATCATCTAAAAATAAGTAATAAGCTTTGGTTTATGAGCTTCTTAATTTATTAGATTTCTAATTTAGTGTATAAAAAGAAATTGTTATTTATTATTTACATATATATCTTCCTAAGACATTAAACACTGTTATATGCCCATTTGGAATTTGTGGACTCCGCTGATGAATGACTTCAGCGCCCACTGATGTTTTATTATTCAAAGCAAATAAATACTGAGATATATAAATTCCTGTGTAATTGAGTAAATCTGGATTGACTAAGCACAAGGTAGCTGTATATCTGTCTGCTTTATACTCAGCTGTTGTTTGAATTCCATTTGTTTTAAACTCTTGAAACTATTTTGAACAACACTACATAAATATATTTAAATTTAAAAAAACAATGGATAATAATTAATTAATTACCTGAGTGTTAAGTTTGATTTTGACATTATCCCAGGGTTGTACATTAACATTTGTAGATATATTTCCTCGAGGATCAATATCACCTATTAAAAGAGGACTAAAATCCCCAGGCCCAACTTGATTGGTGCCTACAAATGTAGATCCAAATTTATAGTTTGATGTTTGACTGGTTGCACCAATGAGTAGACTRTGGCTAACGAAAAAATGATTGCTCAGTCCTTTATTAATGACAAGTCGGATGCCCTCAAAGGTCATCGGAAACAGTTCTGCAAAGATAATAAATCAATAAATTAATAATTTAAGAGAAAATAACACAATAAGATGACCTAAAACGAACCTTTGCATTTCTTGTGTAATTCTTCAACTGATCCGGGGTTTTCGATGCGATTTTCGGGAGGCAGTTTTTGTGGCGTCGTGGGTGGTGGTATTGGTGTCATATTAGGCGGCATCGGTGGTAAATTTGATGAAGCTTGTACGTTACCCATAATGATTTTCTATAATAGGAATTCAATTTAAAATTGAAACCAAGTGACCTACTCGATATTCGATTCCACGCTGTTTAACAAGTAAGGAAATTCACCGACAGGCGACAGTTGTTGATAACTTGATAGTCAAAATCGATTAAATAAGTTCATTGATACGGTTCATGGAGGAGAAATTCATAAAYCATGGGTAGGAACTTGACACTTTTGATTTGTAGTTTTATGCCTAATGACAGCACTGCAAACCAATTCAAATTTCTTATAAATTTTTAATTAACAAATTAACTGTAATCATATTGTCATATTAATTATTATTTAACATTAACATCCAGCTTAAATATTAAACAATTAACAAAATAGATATTAATAGAATATTGGCCAGTATAAAAATTAGCATTCATTTTTGTTAAAATTATTTTTTTATTTAAAGACAAATGGTGCAGAAATTTATTAGGTAAGTACATGGAAAAACAATAAAAATAACAAGGCCAAATTCAGATTGGAATTATTATCATCAATGGAAAATATTATCTTATTTCCTAAAATAATATAAATCGTGTTCTGTTGTTTTCTTAACTCATATGTACTTATTAATATAAATAGTATATATATTCTTGTAAAAATAAAAATAATATTTGTCTGAATTTAACATAATATGGTACTTCCCTATATAGTTAATCCTTTTACCAGTCATTTTTATTTAGAAATACTTTAAATAATAATTAATAAGTAASGAATAAAAACTTTAAAACGTAAACATTTTTAACTAAAATAAATGTTCAGAAAATAAAACAATCTATTTGTACTTTTGTGATAATTGTTTTCAATTTATTGTTTGAAACCTTAAATGGCAACTTGTAGAGAACTTTTATTTAATTTTCAAGCTTCAGCTATTACAATGTAAATTTATCCTCATTTATTTAGTATTTTAATCTTCTGGACTCCTATATAAATTACTTTTCGAGTTCTAATATATACACTATTTAGGAATTGGAAATTACTCTATTTTCTAATACACATATAATTACTAATAGTAAAATACTACTGAATGAGTTAAGACTCATTAGACTTAAGAGTTAAGATTAATGATAGTTTATAATAGAACACTGTACACCATAAAAAATATTTATTAAAAAAGTAATACCATTGACAATAAAATTTAATGAAAATGCACAAACATGAAAACATCACATTACAATATTATGTTTTATTATTTTTTTTTTAATTGTGAGTCTTCCTCGAGAGTTTTTTGTTTCAGAAAAGGTTTGTGAAGAGCATTATATAATTGTGTTGCTTTATGTTGAGCAAACCCAGGACACAATGCCAAAGCTGTATGAGACGCTTTACAAATATTTTCCAGTGAACCAAATGTAGATAGTAACAATGCTGCATCAGTTTTATTTACTGCACGAATAGTTGTAAGTGCATTGGCTATCTGTTATTTAAAAAATAAATTATTTTATTTTAATAGAAACAAAAGTTTAAAGTTTACCCTGGAATAGTCATCTGCTTCTGATTTTTCCATTATAAGATCTGGTGGCTTGTTTTCAAATATTTTATAAGTTTCAATGAGTTTACCAGCTTCTTCAGAAGTCCAAGCTAACATTAAAGTAAGTTCAGCAACCAAACACATTCTAGTCAATTGTTTGAGAGCTGTATGAGGCTCTTTGACATCAATCTGAAGCAACAATACTCGTAATTCATATAATTTTCCCAAGGATTTTACTCTGTTGTATATATAGTCAGGCTTTAGCATATGGTAACGCAGGGATAAAAATAGTGCACATGTTGTACGTCCCATTACATAGTCAGGTATAATGTCATCTGAATATTCCCATGGTACATTGACGATAGATTTAAGCAGTGGATTGCCTCTCTAATAATAATTGAAATATTTAAAAGTATTTAAAATCAGTCAACAAGAAAATAACTGTATACTTGTTTGTTGTTGACCAATACACCTGAAACAGATGCAGATTTCACAGGGGATTGTTTTACACCACTTGTGCTAGGTTGATTATTAGTGGCTTCTGAATTATGTTGTCCACCAACAGAATTGATTGATTCATAATRTTCTGATGCTTTAACTTTGCGAAATTCATCTATCACAATAAATATACCAATATTAAAATTAAAGTTGACATGAAAGTAAAAAATTAAAATATTATATTTACCAGCAAAAGAACCTGGATTATTCATTTGTACTTATAACTGAAATATCTGCTTAATTCAATCAAACTACAATAGTCTAAGAATTTATAGATATGTAATATGTATACTTATGAATAAAATAAACTAAAATACCAATTTCAGTTGKTTAAAATAAGATATAAATCTTAAAACTATATAATATTTGGTAATTTTAAAATTATTAACATATTATTAAATAACAGAATAACTTAATTAATAAAAAGGTATAGTTCTAAGGTATGTAGTACACTTGACATAGGTAGGTATTCTCAATGATTAATAGTAAATTACTCGATTATAGACAAAACTGTATTAGTTATTAGTTATTTATGTCACTTTAAACATGATAAATTTTATTTTATTATCTAGRTGAATTCAAATTTAATCTTTAGCAAACAAGTGAAGTGACTATACTCAGGACCATAACGTCATAAACTCATAACAGTCATAACTCGTAACGTATTGTAAWAATTATCAATTAAWACATATTAWAAGAGATAAGAATTTTGATAATATTAATATGCGATTCATATCTATAATCGTGATTATAGACTTTTAGCACATAAACTCATAAACATAATAATTTTATGAATGTACTTTTTTTGTATTTTAAAATTTTAGTTTGATTTTGTAGGTAGTTGGTAATTTAACACATTTTCTTATTCTTTTTATTGTGAGTATTAATAAATATTAACGCAAATACATATATATATAATATATAGTATATAAGTTAGTATTTAGAAAATATTATTTATTATCAATAATTTACATATAATTTTTAATATTGTATTTCCTTATTGAAATCAAAATATAATAAATAAATTTTTATATTACAGATAATATTAATTTGTTTATTACCACCAGACAAAATGGGTGAACGTAAAGGACAAAATAAATACTACCCGCCAGATTATAACCCTGCAGTAGGGGGATTAAATAAATTTAAAGGAACTCATGCTTTAAGAGAACGGGCTCGTAAGCTTCATATGGGTATTTTAATAATACGTTTTGAAATGCCATACAACATATGGTGTGATGGATGCAATAATCACATTGGGATGGGTGTTCGGTATAGTAAATATCTTATTGATTGAAATAAAGTAATTAATTAATTTTAATACTTTAGGTATAATGCTGAAAAGAAGAAAATTGGAATGTATTATTCAACGCCTGTTTATCAATTTCGAATGAAATGTCATCTTTGTAATAATCATTTTGAAATTAAAACAGATCCTGGGGTAATGATAAAACTATAGAATATTTTTATTATGTAAAAATTTCTGAATTTTCTGAAATAAAATATAGAATTTAGATTATGTAATCGTAAGTGGTGCTCGTCGGCAAGAAAATCGGTGGGATCCCTTTGAAAATGAACAAATTGTTCCAGAGGACAAAGATACGAGTAAACGATTGTTTGATGATGCTATGTTTAAACTTGAACATGGTACTGAAGATATAGACAAAGCTAAAAAAGCAGCTCCAATATTGGTTAAACTTCACGATGCACAAGATGCCAAATGGAATGATGATTTTGCTGCTAATTCATTATTAAGACAACAGTTAAGAGTAAGTTTAGAACTATTATTTAAATAAATAAATTACACTTCTTATTCTACATATTTGGTTAAAATTAATTTAAATATTCRTTTGATTTAACTTTTCACTACATAACATATTTTAGTAAACAAAAAATAATATTTTGAAACAAAATAGCCCTGTATGTATAGCCTAAGAAATGTGGGTACTGTGTTGTACAAAAAATTCATTATTCAACTGTAGCAAGTTGGCTAACTTTCGTATGGAAAAATTATGTTATTTAATATTGGTATTCRTTATTCACAGTGGCGCCGATCACCTAATTTATCAATGACATATGTCATAGTAGATTTTATAGCTGGGGGGGCCCACCAAGAGGTACTGAGGTCTGGTTGTGAAAAAATTAGGGCAGGGGAATGTATGATGTCATAGTATTTTTTAAACACTTCGGCGCCACTGGTTATTCAGACATTATCATCTTATAATAATAATTAATCTGTTCAATTTTCAGACCAAAAAACAGAAATTAGCTGTGAAAGAAAAACATGACAATGAATTAAAAGAAAGATTATCATTAAGTATTCCGTTAGTAGATGAAGTTGAAGAAGATATAAAAATTGCTAAACTATTAAGCTATCAAACATCTGATAGTAAGCATATATAGTTTTATTAATTTTAAAATGCAAATTCAAACTCATCATTAAAAAAAAACTAGTCAAATACCATTTGATTTTTGTATAGTTCGTTAACACGTTCACTGTGGGATGACGTCTTGAGGCATCATTTCTATCGTTCCCATAAGCGGATGACGTCTTAAGGCGTCATTTATACATGTATTTTCAACTATTTTTAATTTAGTCAGCGTTGCGTTTTAATCTTGATTTTTGACCAGCGTTGTTCAATATATATTACTGTATATGTGTGTGCAATCCGTATCTCTAATTTTCTATTTTTAAGTCTACGATAAAACTTGAATGGGGAATACTTTTATATTATTATAAAATGTTTGATAATTTGTACACAATTTTTTTATAACTAATATTGTAATAAAGTATTAAAGTATTTGAATGATAATTATTTTAAGTTATATATTTATACCATGACACCCTTAGGCGTCATACAAAAAAAMCCACGAACATTTGACAAGCACCGGGGAATGGKTATACAAAAATCAAGCAGCAGCRAACGTGTTAATAGTTGGTCACTAACAAGTTAATTGTCTACCTTTTTATAAAAATGTTAATGCATAATATCACAAAAAATTTTTCTCGTCATTTATCCAATAATGATCTTAAATAATATGTATACCTATAAAGCATTGCTATTGAATAGATAGCTGCTTTTTTATGTATATTAAATTATATCATATAATTACACAAATTATACTATGTTTATTATTCAATTTACAGATTTTTTATATTTAATATAGAGTTTAAAAATATTGATTATGTACAAAGCACGTTGTATTAGTAAAATTAAGAAATTTTCTTTTAAAATCATTATTTAATGTATGTATTGTCCTATTTAGGTACAAAAACCAGACGAAAAAAGTTTATTCAAGGACTTCGTAAAACTCCTAAGCTGGACCCCAATAAACCAAAAAAGTGTCTTAATGTAGGTATCATTCAATCAACTGTTACAACAAAAAAAGAAATATTACCAGATGCTAGTACTTATAATTGCTCTATGGCATCACTTGTATCTGCAGATTATGGATCAACATCGTCATCAGATTAAAAYTGTATTAAAAGTTATAAATACATTTGATTTATATATTTTGTTTTAATAATTAAATAACTATAACAATTATTGGTAACAATAACAAATTAGAAGAGTACAACATGAATATAAGTACTATTAAAAATGTTCAAATTTTATTCTTATGTTTATCTTCAATTTCTCTACATGTTTTTTCATATACACCAAAAAATAAAGCTCCACCTATCATTATGAATACGACTCTTGGAAGAAAACCGGCAAACAATCTGAAATCAAAAACATAATATAAATAATTATGACAAAATGTTTACAAGATTTATCAATCTTTTGAGAACTGAACGCACAATTTTTGGGTTTAATTATAAAAATTAAAATAACAGTGGTGTTGTAGTGATTAGGAAAATAATTGTAATTATAATTAAAATAAATAATATTGATTTATTTTCATCGTGAAATTTATATAAAATATACCAATAACGACATAATAACAGAGTTCCCAAACTCCTTGACACTATACCTTTTATTGTCCCTTCTCATTCTTCTAGAAATCAATTTTGATTCTATGTAGACARTCTACATAAGACTTTTTGGACACAACCACACTCTGCATCGTATGATCAGAGCTGCAAATAATAATTAATCCTTGGGCCACACAACCACTTTACTTAATTATTACTTAACTATTAAGTGTATGTTAAGCACTCTTTTTTCTGTACATTAGTACAATTGTGTTCTAACTACTCACATGTATACTATTTTATCATATCAGTTATAATATGTGAAATTGTGTTTATACACATTAATATTTGACATACTCAACATGTTCCTGGAATTTCACAGCAAGTCCATTTTCTTATATATTCCTATACAAAGATTAGCAAACAACAATAACAAAAATATTGATAAATGCATCTTGACGAAATTTTGGTTTTAAACATTACAGCAGTTTTTTTTTTGTAAACCATGCAACATCCAAATTATAATGAACAAATGGACTGAATAACACAAAATTATATTGTGACAATAAACGAGATAACACTTCTGACTATAGTACTCACTTAACAATTAAACAAAAAARCCTTAAAATAACCATGCAGTATTCAACAAAGATTTTCTCTTATTCACATGATTGGATAGCGAAAATAATGTTGTGCTCTTCGATTCATCWTTTCTTTTACAGCAATAATTTCTCATAATATACCACCACTAGTCACTAATCAATAAATTATCAAAAATAATATGGATATTGTTTTAGGAAAAATGAAATAATCATTTGATCTCTWTGAATCCATACACAGTGTTGTAAACTCTCATTGCCATTGTTTCTTTTTATCTAAATACTATATTATAAGTTATAGTACCCATTGAGTCCTTTTTTTTTGTATATGTTCTTAAAAACTATTGAGAATTTTTGATCCACTGCACTATTTGCTAACATAATTTGTGTTTTTGTTACATCAATGGGTGTAGTCAGAGCAGCAGCTATACCACCTACGAAACAGTTATTATGAAATTATAATTGTTAACAAATAAATAGAATGGAACCGTAAAACAATTATAAATAATAACCTGATATAGATCCGCATAAGGCGACTTCCAATGTTGTAAGAGGTTTACCAGTAAGAATCCTGTACTCTTTTTTTAAGAATTCCCATATTGGAAGTTGCAACATAGAGAATGGTACATCTCGCATAACAGTTGTCCAGAAACCACGATAAAATCCAAAAACTCCCTCGTTAGCATACGCAGTTCTTATGATTTTTAWAATAGGATCTTGATTTGGTGATGCTTGACGCCTTTGTTTTACTATTTCTATGGGTACTTTGGTTGTACAACAAACCTACATAATTAATAGCATAGAAATATGCAAAGTGATTCACCAAGGCTGCATATCCCATTTTTTCTTCAGTAATATAGTTTTTTAAATCTGATTTTTGGAATTTTTAAATATACATAAAAATTCAATTCTTGGAAATTTTTGTACAACTTAAGAAGTRTTTTATGGAGAACAAGTAATTTTTGAGCTACTTAACTTTTTGTTCTAAGGAATTTATGTCCAAAATAATGTGTTTGGAAGATATAGAAATGGTGATCTAAACATTTTGATGATAAATAATAACCTATCAACAATATTTTTAAAAATGGCTATAGAATAGTCAATACTAGATCCAATAATATATATTTATATATTATAAATATTTGTCAAACCATTTTTGAGAACAATTATTATTATTATTATAAACATTTAAGTAACTGAGAAACTATTCGTTTTATATTAAGGATATTAAGATTTAAAAAAAATAACTATTCTCATCTGAAAAATGAAAGTYTTTATTGTAAAAGGACACTTTAAATAGTACAAACAAATTTAAGAATTTGAAAAATCACCTGAGTAAATTTTAAAACTCCTAGTGATAAAAATTTGAATAAATGTATTACTATAAGAAAGAATGAGAATAAGCGTTGTTGGAAGATCACTTTGTATACAATATTCAATAGTAATATACATCAAACATCAYTAAAATTAAATTTGAATGTTAATATTCAACTTAAAACAATATAATATAATTAAAATTTAGTATACCACTTCACCAACGATTCCTGCACATAAATGAACTAATGGAGCAGTATTGTTGGATACAAAGGGAAATAGATTTTTRAAACCATCATAAGTGCCAAAAAACAATCCCGCTAAAAACACATGGGTTTAAATTCTTTTGTTTAATGGTAATGATAACAAAAAATATTTTACCTGTAAAAGGAGCTCCAATAATAGTCGGTGTTAGTCCTTTATAAATACCTCTGAAGCCACCAGACTGAATAAATCCATATTGGCTTTGTAATCTAGTTTTTAACGTATCTAATGGGAATAAGGCAATATCAACAACAGTTCCAGCTACAGCACCAGCCTAAAATAAATTAACATATTTTTACTGATGTATTTATTTACTACAATAATTACAAATTAAATGATATATTTAACCAAAACAATGATTATAAAAACATTTTTAATCCATAGTTTTTACTTAAACCATATTGTGAACTAATTTACAAAATGTTAAAAGTTTAATAATTTATAACTAAGTTTAGAATCTAAACTTTAGATGATGAATGACGGGAAAACTTTAAAATGGTTACAAATATAAGTATTTAGTGAATCAATTGAAAATACATTTTTAATACGATTTAAATACAGGAAATGTTTTAGTTCTTTTAAATCATATTAAATTGAGTATTTTCTTTTTTTTTTTAATCAAACAACATAATATACATAAATATTATACAAATTGAATTATCTACCTTTACATATAGAAATATAATATAAAGTAAAGTTAAAGCAAACTTACTATTAATGAAGTTGAATAATGTCTAGGTACATTAATTGAAATTGGACTGAATTTGTCACTTGCATCCAATTGGTTTTCATTCATCGTAGGTAGGTAGTTATWATATAGCTTTAATGTGAATAAAAATTATTTGATATTATYATCTAATGCAGTCAAATATAAATATAATGTACATAGGTAGACCTAACTATCAAGAAATATTATCTGCCCGGCAGTACGAGCACAGAATAAATTAAATTATAATTAAATGTTATATTAATATAAATTAAATAGATGTAATCTATTCTGACGTATCTATACTCAATAGATCTAGAGCAATATTGAGCAATTACAAAAATTAATTCAAGACATTCTACTATTCTAGTGTTTTTGAATGTTATCAATATTATAGTTTAGTCATTGATATTCTATAATCAATGGTTTAGTCACAGAATAATTCTGTGGTTTAGTGTTAACATTATCAAGTATCAACAATTATGAAATTAATATAAATATGAAATTGTTACAAAATGTTACCATAAATTACACAATATAGTTATTAGAATAAGTAATTACACTTTTTAATAATACAATAAAAATGATTATCTCAAACCTATGTAATTAAAACATTGTAACCCAATGGCCTATGTCGCCGAGGGTATATTTCGTTTAATATATAAAAAAAAAAAAAATGATTATATATTTTTAATTTATCTAAATAGCCAAATAATAATATATAATTGTTAATGTTGATATATATTCATGTAACTAGTTACTAGTTAGGTTGATTTAGAATATTATAGTTTTAAATTTTAGAGCAGAGCGTTCTTGAATTAACTGTATTTGTGTCTTCTGGCCTTCTGGGAAGTAAAATTAATTAAGTCTCATAAACAGACATTTCCCATGTTTTTTTATATCTAGATGGAAAATTGATTATTCTWAGGAAAAGCAATTTTTTTTTTAAACTTTCTWGCAATTATCGATAAAAATATAAAAATGTGTGAAGTAACCAATGTCGAAAATTAACCATCTTATCAGATCAAACAATCAGTTCAAACAAATTTTTATAAATCAATCTTTGCAATGGAATCAGTCTATTTCAAAATTATAATCTGTCATCTGCATTCCGCCAGTGCATTTATTGTAATAATTGTTTTGATTTATTTCAAGCTTATATGTATACTTCGGTGTATCGTTTCGACTCTATTGAAGCTTTAATATACGCAAAATAATTCTATTCGTGCAATTTTTTTACGATAAACACATACCGATGTAAAATGTATATTATAATAAAATGACAACGACCAGTGTAGATT